AAATGATGAAATTTTTTTTTACTATTACATATAAGTAATATCGAATTACGAACAATAAATCTTTTGTATGCGTGTGTTAAATTTTATAATAGTCTACCATCTGACATTAAACAGGAAACACACTATAGAGCTTTTAAAAGAAAGGTTTTTCAACACCTAGTTGACATTGAGCCCTATACTGTGGCGGAGTGCCTGGCCTATCCTTCTCCTTCATCAGCATATTTAATTTGTAGTGTTAATATATTTTAAATGTGTGACGTCAATACATATTTTTTTTAATCTGCAATTAATAATGTGACGTTATTTGCTCAATTGTGTTTAAAAATTTATATGCAAATAACAATTTACTCTCTCTCTCTCTCGCTGTCTCTCTCTTTCGCTGACTCTCCCTCTCAAAATTAGGTGAGCATCATGATCAGTCTGTACACTGGTTAGTTCATCTGCAGTAAGACTATTTTTTAAATGGGCACTGAATGTACTGCATGTATCGCAAGCGTCTATTTAGGGTGGTTTAAACAACAACTTAAAGTCTTTATTAAAAATATCTACGTACAACCACTTTTTTGCTCTTAGCTTTGGATATACATGTCTTTCCTTACATTCGTCAATGTACAGTTGATACATCTTTTCTATTGTAAATTCTGTGCCCAGATAATTACTCTTGCTCTTTTTTCTGGAATAATGACTCTTATACTTTGGGAAGGAATTAATATGGTGATGTATACTATTTATGGTTTCGGTAGGAGTTTTATTGATTTACCACTTTGATCAGCTTTTATTAAACCTCCTGGCTCAATTTTTTCAACATATGCACTACTACCAAAAAAATATACATAGTGTGTGTAAAAACATAACCCTGCTTCAATCACTGATTGTTCACTGTAAAATGGTAGTGTAGTGTATTACTTTTAGATTTGGTAGTCTTTAGATCAGTGGCGCACCCAGGGGGGTTTGGGGGTTAAAACCTTCAGGACCCTATTCCGACACTGTTATTTACACGTTTTAAGGACTTGGAAATTGTGGAGGTAGCATAAAAATATTTCGGTGCCCAACCAAACCCCCCTCCCAGAGAAAAATTCTAGGTGCGCTACTGGTTTAGATCTCTTTTTCTTGATCCAAGAGTAGGTTGGATGTCGACACATGAGAAGATAAATTGCTTTTTTAATATTGCGAACTAAATAAAATGGTTACAATTAACTTAGTTCATGACAATTTAACCAGGTACATAAGACTATGGATATTAAATAACAGTGCACATATTTAGTAAGATAAACAACACCAAGTCCACATGGTGTGGCTAACAAAGATTAGCCTATTTGCACATATCATGTCATGTAAGATTCTTTTTGTATATCATGAGAGATCGTTTTTGGTTTCTTCTACAACCACTAGACATATTTTGTTATATACACGTAGAAATAATATTTAAAGATTTCTATTAATGTTAACTTAAAGACACAATAATATTTTTCATTTAATTTGTATAAATGCATTATAAAGCGTTTCTTATGACGAACATTTGTTCGGAACACACTGTAACTGTAATCGAACGAAGGTGATATTTTTACATAAATTGGTAACACTTATTTGACAGTTACGGTGTGGACACTTTTTGTACTTTAATATTTGGAATTTTAAAGTGAATATTATACCTCTTGTTTTATATTTTTACCTATTTAATAAAATCTGTTCTTTTTAGAACAAAATTAGTGTATTAATTACTATTTATAACTGGGAATAAGCCACAATTAAAGATAAAAAATACGTTTATTGACGTTTCAATTTCCAATTCGGAAATCGTTCTCAAAATACAAACAGTAAATTAAACAAATTTTGTTTTTTGTTACATAGTGAAAAAATTCTTCTAATAATTTATTTATCTGACTCATTTATATTGACAATTCAGACATACATTATGCATTCTAAAGTAGACGACTTTAAAATGATATTGCCATATTGTTGAGTTGCGCTCCTGGGACGACTTTACTATAAGATAGTTCATTCGATTACATGAAATCAACTTTAAACTTGAGAATATCCGTCAGAAAAAATCATAGCATGTAATTCGTCTTTAAAAAGACAAACACATGACATGATGACAGTAAAATTCTCCTGTTAGTGATTCCATAGTAAATTATGAGGGAAAAAACCAGGAAAAAAACCTCATAATACTATCCCGACATTGTAAGTATTTGTTCGTGAATTTAGTTTACCTTCAACAAACATCAAAATTCTGATTTTATATGTTACGTTATTTAAAAAACATAAATGATGTATCCTCTATATGTTACTGACTTACTAATACTGGTATTTTCTTATTAATAACTTCCTCTTTCAATATTGGTAACCAGATCCTACTACATTCTGCCGAGGAATTTGCGACATATAAAATATAAAATCAGAATTTTGATGTTTGTTGAAGGTAAACTAAATTCACGAACAAATACTTACAATGTCGGGATAGTATTATGAAGTTTTTTTCCTGGTTTTTCCCTCATAATTTACTATGGAACCACTAACAGGAGAATTTTACTGTCATCATGTCATGTGTTTGTCTTTTTAAAGACGAATTACATGCTATGATTTTTTCTGACGGATATTCTCAAGTTAAAGTTGATTTCATGTAATCGAATGAACTATCTTATAGTAAAGTCGTCCCAGGAGCGCAACTCAACAATATTGGCAATATCATTTTAAAGTCGTCTACTTTAGAATGCATAATGTATGTCTGAATTGTCAATATAAATGAGTCAGATAAAATTAAATTATTAGAAGAATTTTTTCACTATGTAACAAAAAACAAAATTTGTTTAATTTACTGTTTGTATTTTGAGAACGATTTCCGAATTGGAAATTGAAACGTCAATAAACGTATTTTTTATCTTTAATTGTGGCTTATTCCCAGTTATAAATAGTAATTAATTTACAATGCCACAAGAAAATAGCTTCAGAACAATATCAAAATTAGTGTGTTTTATTTCAAAAATGTCACGTGAAAATTTTAATAGTCATTGTAAAGAGATGGCAATACTTTTCTAATAATTATGTGACCTATTTGATTTAAAATGGATTCAGGATTTTTTTATACTTTGGCAACTATGTCAACTTCGATCTCTGTCAATGATAATGACGTGCAACGGCAAGTAAATTAGATGGAGCATAGTTACTTTTTAGAAATGGAATATAGCATTTTTCATATAAAAATGCTTGCACGTCACAATTTATATAAAGTGAAGTCACTTATATTTAAAATTTCCAGAAAGTCAACCTTAGGGTTAAAATTTTCCTAACAGAGCTAATAACCCATACGGAACTACTCGATCTTTCATAAGCGTCAACATGGTACAATAATCAGAAAAATGTAATCATGATTATATTGCGAATTTTAGAATTATATTGATCAAATAACCAAAACATTTGTTATTATTAATAATATAAATTTTATGAAATAACGATTTAAGTCTAATATTCCACAAAATAATAATTTTAATTAAATAGATAAGACAATTGTACGTAACTGATACGGGAATACTTCAAATTTTATTGAGAGTTCAGCGTGTGGCAAAAGTGTACAAAGTGTTGCCGTTTTTTTTTAAATAAGAATTTTGTTTATGTTGTGATTTCTTACACAATTTCATCGTAATATAATATATATATTAATATATTGTATTTATAAATACATATTAAATTTAGATTAATAGCTTTAAAAACTAATTGTGATTGTGCTATGCCAAAATAAATAAATAGTTTGTAGAAAAATGATAAGCTTTCTTATAAGATATATTATTTTGAACAAGAAATAATGGCGGGACGTTTTTACTATTGAAGCCCTAAAAGAGGTAAGTTTGAAATTTAGAATATACCTATAATTTTGTCTTAAAATGTTTTCTTATGTATTTTAGTGTGTTGCAGTAGTCTTAAAGCTAATCGTATTTACTGTTATTATAATAGTTTGACAAATGGTTGACATTTTAAAAAATCCTCATTTACCTATTCTGATGTTTTGGCAACGCTGTGGGGTTCTGACGTCGTAAATCTTGAATGACGTGCAAGCATTTTTATATGAAAAATGCTATAGACGCATATGCGTCTGTATTCTTTGCCAAAAGCTTTTATATGATTTATCATATGAAAATATCATTCCTTGTCTATTTTCTTATTTGTTCTTCAAACAATTAAAAAATGAATATTTCCAACAGATTATGGAACAAATACATACAAATTATAAATGTTTGGAAAAGTTAAAAAAGCCCGCCTCATGTGACGTCAGACTTATACTTCATTATTATCAGTATTAAATATTTAAGAAAATAGAACTACTGCTGATGATGTCATCACTTAATTTCTATTATACCAATGACGTATAATATATAGACTCGGTGAACGCTTTAAAAAGTGTCCAAAACATGAATACCTTTGTTATTGTTTATTGTTTTGATACGAAGATGCACGAAGTTCATGATTTCTTACGAAGCATCACGAAGTTGATCTTGTGTTTGAAAACATCATGGACGTATGAAAACTTTTTCTCCATTTTGTGTGACAAGCAAATTTTATTTTAAATTGTTGAGAGTTATTTACTTACTATTTTAGTAAAATTGCCATACTATTTTATCAATATAATTAGTTCTCTTATAGACGGGAGCAAAAAGAAATCATAAATATTTCATTTTAATTAAAAAAATAATTATTGTCATTAAACATTATAAATGAACACGCCGCTGTTGTGATAAACATACCTTCAACCTTGAGCCGAGATCTTTCGGACACTCGATTCTATAGCGAGAATAGGGGACTGCGTATAGTCTATATATTATACGTCATTGTATTATACTAAGTCTCACGGCTTCAGAAAATGCCTATGTTATTTAAAATAAAACCACGTGTTCTGGAATGAATTGACATTTTGATCATCAAACTTCAAAGTGACAGTTTTCACAGGGACGTGCTTGTCAGGGGGTGACGTGTTAGTTTAAAAAACAATTACTGCATTGGGCATAATGTTGGATTTATTTACAATTTTTAGTAAAGGAGGCATAGTACTATGGTGCTTCCAAAGTACAAATCAAATATTCACTCCTTCTGTTAATGCTTTAATAAAGAATGTCATTTTGCAGGTAAATATTTACATTGTAATTACAAAATATGTTACAAAGTATGGGTTCAGTCTACTTGATTTTGTTTTATGTTTAGACTTATAGACATTAGAGTTGCTCTTAAAATTTGGTTCATAAGGATTTAAAAGTTAAAATATATTGCTTAATTTTGAATTGTGCTCTATCTTACCTATATTCTTAATAATTAATTTTCTTTATGATACTAATTGCTATCAATTGTAAGTATATTACTTATAGACTTATTGTAGGTGCTTATAATAATTTATTTAAATTTCTGAGGAAAGCAAGACTACATCAATATAAAACGACTGCTTTTGTTCTGATAAATTCTTCCATTTCTTTCTTTCTTCCCTTCGTTTTATTCAACTTAACTATAATATAATAATATCACCAGCTATTTCCTTGAGGTTCTTACATTTACATGTATATTTCCTGTCATGAAACAGTTTATTTTAGAATTATTTTATCTGCTCTTATATGTAATAAGTTGGCTTTTTTTCATTCAGAAGAATGTGTTTCCAATCATCTTGTGTAGTTCTATTGTTAATCCAACATATCATCTCCAACATAAATTCTAGTATCAAAGCCTAATCCTCCATGTATTGCTTGGTATCATCTCTTCAATTAACCCACATCTGCATTCAAATCACTTTACAAAGATTATAAAAAGCTTTTTTTTTCATTCTCACCCAGACTGATGTAAAATTATTTCTCCATAAAAGTTTATTATAAAAATGTATTTTTAGGAAAGAAGTGGTGTAAAAACATTCGACCATGATGGGTTAGTTCTTCAGTATAAGTTAGATAATGAATTCGATTTGGTATTTGTTGTTGCATACCAAAAGATACTGCAGTTATCCTATGTAGACAAATTTCTAAATGATATTCATCTTGAATTCAGAGACAAGTATAAAAATGAGCTTACTGAGAAGTTGTATTTTCAAGATTTCAGTTTTGTGGATACTTATAATTCCACATTAAAGTCAGCTGAAAATTGGTCTAAGGTTCAATTAAAGCAGCCAAAACAGATGAGGACTTTTGAGGAGTCTTTTAAATCTAAAAAGACTGTGTCATCTATGATAGAAAGGAAGGGTGAAGAAAAACCACAGAAATTAATTAAAAAGAAGGAAGTGAACTTCAGTCCTGAAGGTAATTGCTAAATTTTTTGTACAAATTTATTGTTACTAGTTGTAGCTCCCTAATCTATAGTTTTAATCTATAATTCTATACATTATTATTCCTGCCAAAGGTTCCTTCCTAAGATCTTGCAATAGGTTTATAAGTTAGTTTATTTTTACTTGTTGAATACTGAAATACAATACTGGCATTTTATTACTTTTTTTCTACAGTAAAATGCTGAGGTGAGCGTCTTAAGAAGTGCCACAAGTCAACGAGACGGCTTCACAAAATAACTATCTTCACATGAATTAACTCTCCATCAATCAGTTTCTAGTCATCATATATTTATTCTACGCAGGTTTAAATTAAAAAGAATTTTAATTATTTGGGTCCCTTCGTCATGTGGCCTAGGTATTACAGTTTTCTCAATTATATAGTGGTGATTAGTTCTGTATCTTTACCAACCTTCCCCAGTAATTCTTTATTTGTAATTCTATAAGTCTATTATATTTTTAATCATCATCATCATTGGTGCTACAGCCCTATAAAAGAGCCTTGACCTTCCCAAGTCTATTGGCCAGTCAGTTCTATCCATTACCAACTGTTGCCAGTTTACTGCGCCTATTTTTCTACCATCCTCATCTACACCAACTCTCCATCTGAGTTTTGGCCTACCTCTACTTCTACTTCCCACAGGTTGTGACATAAGGATTCTTCTAGGGGGGTTGTTCTGCGGTGATCTTGCCAGATGTCCTGCCCATCTTAGTCTTCCTATTTTTATGAGAGATATTACGTCTTTACCACCAAATATATATTTATATCTGTGATATATCATCTCATAGTTGTACCTCCTTCTCCAAACACCATTTTCACAGATAGGTACCACCGAATATTCTTCCCAGGATCCTTTTTTCAAATATAAGCAGGAGGTTCAAATATATGGTTATTTTTGTTTTTTGGCTTAAGTTTCTGCTTCTCATATGTCTACTCAATCCAAAATAGCATTTGTTTGCTAGGATTATTCTTAGTTTGATTTCTTCCGTCATGACATTCTCCTTGGTGATCAGGGAGCCTAAGTATGTGAATTTATCCACCACCACAAAGGTAGAGTTATCAACAGTGAATTGGTGACCAATGTTTCTGGCTCTATTGTTAGGTGTTTATGCCATTATCTTAGTTTTCTCCTCATTTACTTGCATGCCCATATTTTTTGAGGCATTTGATAAGGTGGTATACATTTCTTCTAGTTTGCATGTTGTGCGGGCAACTAGGTTAACATCATCTGCATATGCCAAAAATTGGAATGATTTATTAAAAATGTTTCCTCTGTTGTCTATTTAGGCATCCCTGACCGCCTTTTCCAGAGCTATGTTGAAAAGGAGACACGCCAGCGCATCTCCCTGTCACAGCCCAATATGCGTTTCAAATGCCTGTGATTTTTGCCCTGTATTTCGACTTTGCAAACAACTTTACGCATTGTAGCCTTAACCAATTTTATCAGTTTATCGGGGATGTGAAATTCATCCATGGCTTCATACAATTTATTTCTTAGGACACTATCATAGGTCAATTTAAAATCTACAAAAAGATGGTATGTGTCAATATTGAATTCATTGGTGTTTTTCAGTATTTCCCTTAGCACAAAGATCTGGTCTGTTGTTGATTGACCAGGCTTAAAACCACTTTGAAATTCGCCAAGAAGCTCCTCTGAATATGCACTCAGGTGACGAAGTATATAAAACACTCAAAAATATTTTGTATGCTGTATTAAGGAGGGTTATTCCCCTATAGTTTTTACATTCCAATTGATCACCCTTTTTGTGTAGCGGGCAAACCATCTCAATACACCACTCGTCCGGGATTTGTTCCTCATTCCAGGCTCTCAGTATGATTTCATATAATGATATTATTTCTTTTTAAATTGCATTTTTTAATGTCCAATTCTCAGCTTCGTATAATAACATTGATATCTTATAATTAATATCTTATATTTCTGCGTGTTAGAAGTGGCATCATTCATATAAATGCTGATATGGCAATATATTTAATTTATATATTATTCTACTTGTTCTATCACATTACTATTAATTTTCAATATGTGGTGTATATTTTTGTGTTGTGTGATTCAGCTCTCTCAACCAGTGACCGGTTTGTCTAATATAACATCCCTGGCAACCTAAACACTGTAATTGATATCATTACTGGTGTCAAATCATTAATTTTCGAGAATATGGTTTTGCGTTAAGGTTGCTGTATATACTAATTTTTATATTTGTGTAGTTATTAAACAAGAAGTAAGTTGTTTTGTAAAATTCGGAATATACATTGTAAGGGATGTTATATTGGACAAACGGATCAGTGGTTGAAACAGCAGATCACATAACACAAAAGTGACTGCAACAGAAGAATCATTACTATTTTAGAAAAAACTCTTGCACCTCCATCACCTCAAGCTCAGAAGAATGGACTTATTGATGAAGAAACCTTAGCTTTAAATAGAGCAAAATTTGCAAAGAAGATGCAGAAAAAGAAACCAGAAGCAAAGTAAGTTGAATTTTTGAGACTTTATAATTTCCCTTAAAATTTCGTGTAAACATTTGAATTATTAGTTAGATCGTTAACAAACATTCATTAGTTTAAAACAAGATTCTAGACGCCTTTGCTGGCTACCTTTCCAATGTCTTTCTCATATCTTCCAGAAGAGTCAACAGTCATCGGTTCTCATTTTATTGACGCTAAGATGTCAACAAATAAATTATATACATAAGTGGTATTTAACAATAAAACACTGAAAAGTTTGTTTTCAAACTTCCACAAAATTTATTTTAACTATTATCACTACAGCTGTTTCGGCTGATTGCCTTTCTCAAGTGATCTATTTTTGGCTTGGGTTTACAAATTTATAGTCTCTAATGAAATAGGTTGAGGAGGGGAGAACTGTTTGTCTCAAGTTGGTCATTCAGAATTATATCTGTGTTTTTTAATTTGTTGATTTCCATAGATTCTAACAAAGATAGCTTAAGGCCTTTATTTTGAATGTGAAGAATTTTAAATTTGTCATTGAAAGAATGATTATGATCTAGAAGGTGAAGTGCGTATGCCGAATCTGTTTTTCTATTCTTGAAAGCCCTTTTATGTTGTGTTATTCATTTGTCAAAGTTTCTACCAGTTTGACCGATGTAAGTTTTTGGGCAGTCGCCACATTGAAGTTTGTACACACCACTATTTAAGTGTTTTTTATTTTGGCTCTTGTTATTTTTAATATATTTGCCTAGGTTGTTATTTGTTCGGAAAGCTGGTGTTATTCCTTTCTTTTTTATGTGTTTGGCAATTTTTGTTGTTATTTTGCCTGTATATGTAATCGAGCAGAAGGTACTGGGTTTTTTCTCTGGTGGTGGAAATACTAATTTCAGGGCTTTCTTGTGTAGTTTTTGATTTAACATTTTATTAATTGTTTGTTCGTTGTATCCGTTGTTTACTGCTATTTGCTTAATTATATTTAATTCTGTCTCAAAGCTGTATTTTGACATCGGAATTTCTGTTAATCTATGTAACATACTATGATAAGCTGCCAGTTTATGTTGTGTTGGATGGGATGATGAATTGTGTATAGTCGTGTCAGTATGGGTAGGTTTATGAAATATGGAGAAGTCATGTTTGTTTTGAAGTCTGCTAAGGTACCCAGTACCTTCTGCTCGATTACATATACAGGCAAAATAACAACAAAAATTGCCAAACACATAAAAAAGAAAGGAATAACACCAGCTTTCCGAACAAATAACAACCTAGGCAAATATATTAAAAATAACAAGAGCCAAAATAAAAAACACTTAAATAGTGGTGTGTACAAACTTCAATGTGGCAACTGCAGAAAAACTTACATCGGTCAAACTGGTAGAAACTTTGATAAAACGAATAACAGAACATAAAAGGGCTTTCAAGAATAGAAAAACAGATTCGACATACGCACTTCACCTTCTAGATCATAATCATTCTTTTAATGACAAATTTAAAATTCTTCACATTGAAAATAAAGGCCTTAAGCTATCTTTGTTAGGATCTATGGAAATCAATAAATTAAAAAACACAGATATAATTCTGAATGACCAACTTGAGACAAACAGTTCTCCCCTCCTCAACCTATTTCATTAGAGACTATAAATTTGTAAACCCAAGCCAAAAATAGATCACTTGAGAAAGACAATCAGCCGAAACAGCTGTAGTGATAATAGTTAAAATAAATTTTGTGGAAGTTTGAAAACAAAGTTTTCAGTGTTTTATTGTTACATAAAATGAATTTCCATCAAGTAACGGTTGAATCCATCAATTATTTAAGTGGTATTTATTTATTCCACAAACAAAAAAAAATTACAATTAAAATGTGCTAAATGTTAGATGTTTTATGGTAACACTGTTATGTACAAAGTTCAGGATTTTCAGGATACAACTCACATTCAAGTATTGTTGACCTCATATTTTGAGGCACTGACGTCAACAGTAGACTCCTCTATAACGAGAACTGAAATGGCAGACTAATTATCTCGTTATAAGCTGATTTCATTATATCAGACAACAATAATACTGTGCAACAACAAAAACATTAACTTCCTGTAATAAAGTAAAATGCTAAATATTGTTTGAATGTCGTTTTTGAAAAAAAAGTTTACTTTTATTGTCAATGATATATGTTACAACAAAAAATCTGTACTTATATTTTTTTCCAACTACAGTGGAACCTCGATTATCCGTCTCTCTATTAACCGTCACCTCTGTTAACCGTTAGGGTCCATACATAAGTTGTTATATTGACAACATAAGTAAAAATTTAGTGATCAATTCATTTTGTTTGCAAAAAATTTCCACCAAAGACGATTCTCATTTTGGAGGATGCACCTACCCATCCTAAAGCCGGTATACTGCGTAGTGACGATACAAATATCACGTACTCTTTTGTGCCTGCGAATACATCATTGATACAACCAATGGATTATTAGGTCATTAACACATTCAAAAGAAGATACGGGAAAAATTTATTCAAAACTTAGTTATGGAAGAGTAATATTTTTTGCCAGAATGTTGGAAAGCATACAGTTTTAAAACACGCAGTCGAAAATGCTGTGGATGCTTGGGCTGATGTTTCGGAAGTAACGCTCAAATGAAGTTATGGCTGAATCAACTGTTTTGTTTTCGTTGTCTAAAGATGACATAAACGAATGGTTAATTTGTGATGAGGACGCAAATGGCTATCGATTGCCGACAGACAATGAAATCGTTGAAATGGCAACAGAGGCAGACGAAACTGATTCAGAAGCCGACTTTGATGGTGGCGATGTGCTATTACAACTTACAAAGATTTGCGTAAAAAAGCTAGAGGAGTTGCATGGTACATACAACAATTCATCAAGTGGTATTCTTGGCAAGAAGAAGGAAATAAGATAGATTTAATGATTTTACGTCGATTAAGAAATTCAGCCGTTGCAAAATGTGAAGTAACAATAAAACAAACAATGATTTCGGAATAATTTAAATCAAATTGATTCGACAAATAAAATTTGAGAGTTATACTATGAATTTTTTTTTTAATGTTCTGTTAACCGTCTTTTCGATTATCTTTCCTTGGTCCGGTGCCCTGACGGATAATCGAGGTTCCACTGTATATAATGTATAAAGCGTATTTTGAAGGATAACATAAACTATTGCTTCTGCAATTGGAAGACGTCTGTCATTTTTGACTCCTTTAAATTGCCCAGTATCATTCTATCTATCATATTTTGTAAAGATGTGAAACCGTTGTATTTATTATAAACAAGTTTATTTCGGGCGGTAGTTAAGTTAATTGCGAGCGGCAGTTAAAAAGGGTCTTTATTTATAGCTATGGCCGGGCCAAAAAAACGTAAAAAAAACACATTTTTCGATCTTATTTTCTCTCGTTATAACCAAATTTGCCTCGCTATTCGCTCCGTGCGTGACCATGGTAGGGGTACATTGAAATGATGCCAGCGTGCGTAGCGGCGAAATATGACAAAATTGGAATATTGGACAAAATATTTTTACGCATAAGTTTTATCAAAAATGTGTGCAAATACATGTCGCGTATTTAATTCTGCTAATAATAGCAAAAACAGTGAGTGTAGTTTTTATAGGTTCCCAAAGATTACATATAAATTAGAGAAAAGAAAAAGATGAATTCGTGCTATTAATATGAAAAAGTAAATATCACATAATTTCATTTTTATGCAATTGAAATAGGAACAATTTAAATAATTTACCTTGAATGATATTTCATAAGGCTTCAAGCTAACTGCAGATGACTTTAGCTTTTATATCATAACTTTTACTATTATTGTTTTTAATTATATGCTCTTTTGCATGAAAAACTTGATTTGCCAGTACTAGATTTTTCGCTTTCTTTTCCGTTTGGAGTTAAAAAGATATATTATGATGAATTTTGAGAAACTCAATTTTTAATACTACATTTATTTTGTACATAAACTGAAAAAATATAGTTAAAAAACTAATTTATTAATAATTGTCAATTTCGCATGTATTTAACAATGTCAAACATATGTCATATATTTAACCTGAAAATTGGGACTCCAAAATTGTCAGATGAAGGCGGTAGGTGTCGCATCAGTCACGCACGGAGCGAATAGAGGGTTATAGTTCATTAGCAATTTCACGGGACATCTAATGTACCTCGTTATAAGCGAAACTTCGTAATAACTGTGTTCGTTATAGAGGGAGTATACTGTACATAGTTAACAAATTAAACCAGCTCGACTGACGATGCTTAAAATCTTACTTTCACTTTTGAGAAGAAAATGATTTGCAAAAGGACAACTTTATTCATACCCCACGCAATAAACTTTTGAAATATCCCTTTATTACGGGATAATAATCGGTTATCTGCTACAATATTAGGTAGTATCTATAGGTACTATCGGCAATATTGAAGACTAAAATATTGAAATAAAATGAACATTGGAATTTCCAGTTACTTAGTCATACCATTATCTACGGTTAGATAAATATTATTTAAAATTCGCAATTCGAAATAAATTGACGTTTATGTAATTGTTATGTTAATTCTTATATCGGTAATCGAAAAGATCCTAACTGCTACAGAGAATTAAGTGTCCTACCTACTTTTGGGAGATTGTTTGGAAAGATAATAAATGGAAAAATACAAGATGATGTAGGACATTAATTACGAGACCAAGTGATTACGCTGGAGATCTTGCACTGAAACTTATTCTATCCAACAATTAAAAAATTTTTATTAAAAATCCTTTATAAAAGGTATATAATTTAAAAAACCCAATCCGATTATATCACAAAACGTTTTCGGAATCCATATTTCATCATCAGTGATCCTAAAAAGTGTATAACCACTTAATCAAAAAGAACGTGAAATTTAAATTTTGACCAAGGTTAATTTTTGATTTAATTTAAATTTAATTTTGACCAAAATTTAAATTTCACGTTCTTTTTAATTAAGTGGTTATATACTTTTTAGGGCATTGATGATGAAATATGGATTCCGAAAACGTTTTGTAATATAGCCCGATTGGGTTTTTTTATATATCTTATAAGGTATTATAAAATTTGTGTACATGGTATACAACCAACTACAGGAACTTAGATTCCTTGTGGATTTTAATAGAAAAAAGAAAAGCGGTTGGTACCGAAGTACATCTAGCCTTCATCGACCTATAAAAGGCGTATGGTACAGTTCCAAGACTTAAATTGTGGCAAGCTTCACAACAACTCGGCATTAGTCAATACCTTTTAGGAATAATCACAGAAGTATACAGGGATAATACTACACTTGAGTGCAAAAAAATCGACTCAAAATTATCTTGCGAAAGTACGTCTCCTGTTTCAATCAAAAAAGGTGTAAATTTAAAAATATTTAGTGTAGAAATATTAACCTCATTATTGAGTTTGAAAAAGTTTTGATTTTTGGTAAATCGGGTGACGTATATCAAATAAATAATGCAACACGTAGAGAGAGGGTCATAATTTGACTCATTGAAATCAACACACACCCACTTAACACATTTGGTTAACACCGTAAGCATCAATTTCCATAGCAACCCACTAATACATCAGTCAATTAAGTTCGCAACTTCATAACAAATGGATACCACATCCGTCAAAGCAGCTCAAGCAGTAGCATTATTGAGAGAAGACCTGAGCAGAGAGCCGTGGCAAATCAACGAAATTTAAGCCAATCTGCTGTGTCCCGAGTGTATCGTCGGTACCAAGATACTGGTGATTATGCCCGCCGACAAGGAGGAGGTCGTAAACTAATAACAACAGAGAGAGAGAGAGAGATGATCGATTTCTTGTATCTAAATCTCTGAGAAATCAACATTTGACTGGTTCTAATCTCAAAGAAGAGCTTAGAGAGGTCCGACGTGTGGTTACCAGTGTTTGGACAGTCAGAAGGAGACTGAAAGCAGCCAACCTGATACCAAAAAGGGCAGCTACTGGTCCCTAGCTAACTGCAGCCCAGAAGCAAAGCCGACTAGAATTTGCTCACGAACATCTGGATTGGGACGACTATCAATGGAGTCTGGTATTATTCTCCGACGAAAGTAGAATCTGTCTACATGGCAACGACAAGAGGCGTCGAGTCTATAGAAGGCCAGGGGAACGATTTGCTCAATGTTGTATACGAGAAATTGTGTCATATGGAGTCGGTTCTTGTATGTTTTGGGCAGGCATTTCCATGGATGGAAAAACCGAGCTAGTTATCGTGCCTGGTGGGGGATGTGGAGGAGGTTTTACGGCGGATCGTTACATCAGAGATATTTTGGAGGAACATGTGGTTCCATACGCGGGATTTATTGGTAATGCCTTTATTTTATTGCATGATAATGCACGATGTCATACCGCACGAGTCACCACCACCTATCTGTCTGAGATTGGTATACCTACAATAAATTGGCCTGCGTTGAGTCCGGACATAAATCTAATAGAGCATGTTTGGAATGAGCTTAAACGAAGGGTCCGGAGCAGAAATCATGCACCAAGGAGCATAATGGAATTGAGAGCTGCGCTTAATGATGAATGGGAAGCATTGCCTCAAGAATTTATTAGAAAAGTCATCCGATCCATGGGAAATCGATTGGAAAGTGTAATTAGGAATAGGGGTGGTAATCTCAGATACTAAAAAACAAACAAAAAATAATTTTGTAATTGATGATTTCTCTGTTCGTATTGCATATTGTTTTTATAATGCGTCTTCCAAATAATGAAATAGCAGTTTTTGTAAGTTCAATAATAAAGTTACTGTTTGCATACTACATTTTGTTATTTTCATACTTCTTACATTAAAACAGAAGGTGTAATCTCAAATATCGCTTTTTAGTCGATTGTTTTGCACTCAAGTGTATTACCGAAAAATCGGAAATAGACTATCAGAGCCAATAAAAGTAACTAAAGGACTAATACAAGGATGCAGTATGTTACCCTTACTGTTTAATTTATATATTGAGGTAGCCCTCCAAAATTGGAAAAACAACTGCCAGGGAATGGGAATCCCCATAGGAAATGACGTACTGTTCTCCCTGAACTTTGCGGATGACCAAGTCGTCCTAGCTCAAGATTCTTATGATCTAGAATTTATGATAAATCGTCTATACAGAGAATATGTAAAATGGGGGTTACAAGTCAGCATAAAGAAAACAGAATATTTAGATACCAATTCAGATGCAAGAATTGAAGTGTTGATAGACGAGGACGTGGAAATCAAACAAGTGGAAAAATTTTAATATTTAGGTGCACTCATTTATAAGAACGGGTTGGGAAAAACCGAAATTAAACACCGAATTAATCAGGGACGTAAAATTGTAGGATATCTGAACTCCTTATGGTGGGATCGCAACATTTCCAAGAGGAACAAACAAATAATAGGACCAACCATGGTTGAATCAGTTCTTTGTTATGGCTCTGAAGTATGGATAATTAATGCAGACCTGAAGAGAATATAGTTGAAATGGATTATTTGAGAAGAAGTGCTAGAACTTCAAGGCTGGAGAGAAAGAGCAACGAATTTATAAGAAATAACTTGAATGCTACAGAAACGGTCATTGACAGAATAGAAAGAAGAGGTTTAAAATGGTTTGGACACCTATTGAGAACGCCTGACGAACGTTGGCTCCAAAAACTTCACAGATGAAAGCCCCCTGGAAGAAGAAAAAGAGGTAGACCTCGACGCTCATGGAATGAAGGAATTAGAGGAGCGATGGAGTCGAGAGGTTTGGAGGAGGAGCATGCCTTGGACCGGGAAGATTGGCGGAGGAGAACGGAAATACGGCGATAGCCATCTCCAAAATGTATTGTATTTACAAGTTGGATCTTGTATTATATATAATTGTTATATAAATTAAATATGTTTATTTTATGTAATTTTTTGTATAAATATGCAAAATCCCCAGATATTTGCATAAAATATGCAATGAATGCATTTTGCATGTTTGCAAGTCTGATAACCTTTAGAGGCCTCAGAGCTTTAAACATAAAATTGAAATGTACAAAATTTGCTCGTAGAGTAAACTGTTACTACTGCTGTTCTCAAAAATTGTTTCACAGCAGAGCATCTACTTTAGACTATTTATAATTGGAAGTCAGTACGATATTTTAATATGACTCAATGCACAATAACAATTTATCCTACATTACTTAGGAGTTCATGAGGGGAATAAAATCCATAAAGCTTCATGAATTATAATTTACAGAACGAACTTTACAACCCTAATAGACGTCAGAAGTTACAGAGAGGCAAATATTGACTAAATCACTTCATTGTAAGGGTTAAGTGTCGACAACGAATTTTCAACGCAAAAACGGGCTACTCGACAAAAAAAAAATATCGTAAAAAATGAAAACAGAGAAACAGTTCAACCAAGAGCCTTTCTTTTGCCTTATCTATTTCTTTCCTTTGATTTTTCCGTTAAGAATTAACCGGAGAATGTTCTTTATAATATTGATTTGTTGAACTGATAACTATTGCTATTATTTATATTATTAAATCATTTTAGAAAAAGTCCTAAAAGTCCTCCTGCAGAAAAAGCGGGCAAAAAACCCCGGGTATGGGATTTAAGTGGATCTAACAAGGATGTGGATATACTGGAACGGACAACAGATAGACCAGAGGATGCCAGAAGCAATTATACACCAGATGCTGATGTAAGTAATTTAGTATTATTGTAAATTTATATTACCATTTTTTTCATATATTTCATATTTATACATACTTAAATTTTATATTTGGAATATCTCTGATACTTATTTTTTAACCCTTTGTTTATTTTGGCCTAAATACAATATTGATGCACTGCAAAACGACTCGACATCATTCTTATATAAGCTGCGACTTAACCAAAAGTTGGCAAACCTGATCTACTCCTCAGCCCAGAGTACCTATAAAGAGATAATCAATAAAATCAATGAAGCAGCTTACGAAGCGCTCGGCACAATCCAAAAGAACAAAAAGAATACTCCATTGTGGTGCACAAATGACATCGCCAATGCAATACACAACAAGAAACAAGCATATCAAAAGTGGCTGCAAACAAATGATCCAGATGATAGACGAACATATGCAAGATCAAACAGAGAAGTAAAACATTTAGTAACTAAAGCAAAAAATATTTCCTGGGGAAGTAAATGCGAAGAACTCAACAAATATATAGGGTCAACAAGATCAAAAGAAGCATGGAAAACGGTAAAAAATCTGAGAACAAACAGAAAAGAAACGAGTAGAATAGATTTAATAGAAGAAAAATCTTGGATCGAACACTACTCACAACTTTTGACTGAAACAAGACCTCAATTCACGAACATCAGTACAACAACATATGAACTGGAATTCAGTGAAGACGATGAAATAACAGTACAGGAAGTCGAGAATGCAATACGAACTCTAAAAAATCGGAAGTCATGCGGACCACAAGGTATACCAAATGAATTATTAAAACATAGCCCACAAGTATTACGGGAATTACTGGCGTATGTCTTCACCTTATTCTATAATGGACACGACTTACCACCGGAGTGGACAAAAGCACATATTAACAACATCTACAAAAAAGGAGATAGAAAGAATTGTTCAAACTACAGGGGGCTAAGTGTCATAAATTCACTCTCAAGACTGTATGGAAAAATAATAAAAAATAAAATTGAAACAGAGATGACAGATGTAGAAGAACAGAATGGCTTTCGTGCAGGCAGATCCTGCATGGACAGTATATTCTCTTTAAAGCAAGTTCTCGAGAAAAGATTAGCCCACAACCTTTCAACTCATATAGTCTTTATAGATCTGACAAAGGCATACGATAGTGTACCACTTTCAATGCTTTGGGTAGAAATGGAAAAACAAGGTATAAGCAAAAAAAATATATAAGCAGTACAACAGCTCTACATAAATATGACGGCAAACATTAAAACTGGAAATGAATTAACTAGAGAAATTCCTATTAGTAAGGGCCTAAAGCAAGGCTGCTGCATAGTACCTACACTGTTCAAAATATATCTAAATGAGGCACTCTCACTGTGGAGAAGAAAGTGCTGCAATATGGGCATCCCAATCGGAGATGATAGATTGTACACGATACACTTCGCTGACGACCAAGCCATTCTAGCTGAAGACGAGAGTGATATAAGCTACATGCTTAGAAAACTGGAAGATGAGTACACCAAATGGGGCCTCACAATTAATATACAATAAACTGAGTACTTAGTTGTAGGAGAAAAACCAGAAAGCCTATAAATCGAAATGGGAACTATAAAACCAACAGACAATTTTAAGTACTTGGGAGTCCAAATAACATCAAAAGCAGGAAATAGCGAAGAAATACATTCGAGGATTGGCCAAACAAGATCAGCCACCAGACAGCTATACGGACTATTATGGAATAAAAAAATAACAAAAGAAAATAAAAGAAGAATTTATAAAACAATAGAAAATATTGGACTGTACGGCGCCGAACTCTGGGAAATAAACCAAAGAAACAAATCAAAAATTAAGGCCATGTAAATGAACTACTGGAGACGATGTTGCCAGCTCACTAGACTTGATAGGGTGAGAAACGAAGATATTCGGAGAGAAATGGAAATCGATCTAGACATAGTAGACACAATCGAAGCCGAAAGACTTAAACTGGTATGGACACCTTCAGAGAATGCCGGTTTCGACATTTATTTTTTTTGCCAAATTATTAGTGTCAAGTGAACTATCCTTTTCTTAAATCTTTCGTTACCTTCCTTAAAAATCTCAGCCGGGATACCACTTCCTCCTGCACTTTTGTTATTTTTTAGGTCTCTTATTATTTCTTTGACTTTATCCAAAGTTGGTTTCTCGCACTCGTCGCACGTCCCTTCTTCATCCTCTTGCCAATTCTAATTTCCCTCAAGTTTCTCTTGTTGGTCTGTATTTAATAGATCTTCGAAATGTTTGTTTCACCTAGAAATAAGCCTTCTTTGTTTCTTCAATACTCTGGATTATTCTTTGTAGTTTCTCTGGATTTCTTAAGATCTTGGTAGAAATTATGGTACTTATAGTTATATAATCTTTGATAACTATAAGTAATTTAAAGGGTTTTTACCCAAGTATTTTTGGTGGCTCAGGCATTTTAACCTAGCAGATTTTAAACCTGATCATGGACTGTTTAGTCCGAAAACGTTTGTTTTTTTGATGTAGCCCTTTTAAGGGTTTTTAAATAAATAGACCCACTTACAAAGACCAACCTCTTTTTTTTTATATCCAATTTGGTTTTAGAAATGCTATGGGAACTAGGAAAGCACTTTTTGCGCTTAACATCCTATTACAAAAATGTCGTGAAAAATGTATTTGCATGTTTTGTAGACTTCGAAAAGGCATTCGATAATGCGATAATTCGATAATCCTACACGTTATGGCTGACAGACGACATCTTGGTGAAATGGGCATTAAAATAAACTCAAACAAAACCAAATCTTTAGTGTTTAGTCGTGACCCACATCCCGATGCAATGCTTCAATTAAAACGGAGTCCAAGTTGAGAAAGTTCACAAAATGACATATTTGACAACTGTGATAACGGACCAACTAGATGCAGACATAGAAATAAAACGTAGAATAGCAACGACTAAAACTACTTTTATGAAAATTAAGTCAGTTCTTTGTAATAACCATCTCGGTTTAGAACTGAGACAAAGAATGGTTAAGTGCTATGTTTGGTCTGTACTTTTGTATAACGCAGAAGTGTGGACGCTAAAAGTATCGATCATGAATAAAATTGAAGCATTGGAAATGTAGGTTCATAGACGAATGCTGAAGATACCTTGAACAGCAAGGAAAACTAATGAAGAAGTACTAAGGAGCGTCAACAAAGATAGAGAACTAATAAATACTGTTAAACATAGAAAAATGTCTCATCTGGAACATATAGTAAGGGGAAGTGCTGTATGGCAGTTTAAAACCTGGTTAGTTTTATATGCTTCAAAATATCCCTTCAACCAACTAGAATAAAAAAAATCACATACACAGTATTCATCAACATTTGAAGTATTTTATAAATAATTGCTCGCATTTACAAGAGGAATCATAGTGTCTTGTGTAGGTTATTTTAAAGTTTAATTGATTTGGTAATTATACTGACATTTTATTATTTAAAAATTAAGTAACTTAAAAATTTTATTTTTTAGATGGTTGGTCAAATGAAAGGCGTAATTAAAGATCTAGAAGTGGAATCTTCTGATGATGATTACGAAGAAGACGAAGAAGTGGAAACCGTTCAACAGAGCAAACCCGCCGCCAAAGGAGGAATGTTTTCTATCTTTAGAGGTCTAGTCGGCTCAAAGAATCTGACCAAAGCTGACATGGAACCAGTTTTGGAGAAGATGAAAGACCATCTCATTGCTAAAAATGTTGCTGCAGATATTTCGGAGAAGCTTTGTGATTCCGTTGCAACTAAATTAGAGGGAAAAGTATTGGGAACCTTTGATAGTGTTGCTACGACTGTGAAAAATACTCTAACTGAATCTTTGGTTCAAATTTTAAGTCCAAAAAGAAGGGTTGACATTCTTAGAGATTGCATGGAAGCTCAAAAGGCTAATAGACCATATGTTATGACTTTTTGTGGTGTAAGTATGTTTTGTTTAATTGAAAACTAAATTGTTCAATTACGCGTTGAACATAGTTATACATGAAGCACTACTTTGGTTAGTTTTTATTAATTCATGCGACTTCGCGCCCAATTTGTTTTTAAATTTTGAAAGTATAATCTTGTAAAATATTGCTGAAGCTGTTTTCTAATGTAGTAACTTTTTTAAATGATTAATATTTCATGAATTCTTAGTAGTTGTTCTATAGTGCTTAAATATTGCCATCGATATTATTCGGACATATGCTACTACTTCGAAAATCTCAGGGAAAGCAGTAGAAATCTATGAACACCTAAAGGCTAAAGCCCTAAAACACCAAAAAACAAGAACTGAATGTTCTGCTTGAACACTGTAAGGTTCGTCTCTCGAACTAGAACTCGACTGGGTTTTAACTCCGCACGTATACGTCCATGACTCCGCATCATTCACCAAGAAAACACAGATATTAGTTTTTACACTTTAATACGATTCTAATGTATTAACATTGTGGTAGATCGAGATGCGTCGGGTAGTATAACCCCCTGTCAGCAAATAGTTCTTAATATATTGCTCTTACCTTAGACAAGGAAAGAGAGGGGACGCGTAATCATATGGAATTAACTGAAGCCAAAACTGACACCAGGGATAGTGCCAGCGGCGTATTTTTGGGGTATTGTTATGGATTGAATAATCCATATTTAAAATGAAACATTTTTGTAGGGTAAATGTTTTTTTAGTCATAATAAAATTCTTGAAAATGACTTTACAAATATATTTCGTTATTTCGAATTTTACACGAGGATAAATTTGAAGACTACTCCATATATTTCTATAGCAAAATTAATACAAGACCTATTTACTATCTATACCTAACCACCTACTACCTAATTTAGTATTGACCTTTGAACAAACAGGACATATAATTTCTGATTTTCGTTTTGTAATAAAATGAATTCTAATATTCAAATATTTTAAAATTATAGATTGTATTAGAAAGCATATATGATTTTTGATACGTTAAAACATGGTCTTTATTTATATATAATTGCAACTGAATGCATTTAAACATAATTTTATTTTATATAATACCCACAATTTTTGTTGCTAAAGATTTTTCATATATATAATTCCCAATAATATTAAAATCTGAAGTCCAACATGCTATCTTCTACTTACGGCGCCTTATCCTTAAGGACGTTGGCCATTACATTTGCCCATTTAATCTTATTTGTAGCAGCCCTGAATAGTTCTATGGAGGTCATGTTCGTCCATTGCCGTAGGTTTTTAAGCCAAGTCTTCTTCCTGGTCCTCTTTTGCTTTTGACTTTGCCTTCGATTATAAGTTGGAGCATTTTCTAAACCGTCTTCTCCAACTTCTGCTCTTATAATTAGCCGCTTATACGCTGCAGCAAATTGCCGAGCGGTTGGGTTATTATTCTTACCTCCTTTGGATCTTATTGAAGAAAAATATAACTCTAGTTGATCTTGACTAATCTTCTTTTCCTTCTTCTTCAGGTTCCGCTCCTATTGGAGATTGCAAATCATTCTGGCAATTATAATTTTGTTGGTTACGCGCCTGAATAGTTCAGTTGACCTGCATCCAAACCATTCAAGGAGATTGCGTAGCCAGGAGATTTTACTCTTCCAAAATAAGCGTCTTCTTACGCTTCTTCTGCCTTTTATTTTACCCTGAATTATATTCCTTAGTAGTTCTTATTTTTCACCTCTCATGATGTGCCACAAGTATTCCAATTTCCTGATTTTTATGGAATTTAAAACTTCGCATTGTTTTCCTAGTTGTTCGAGAACTTGTTCGTTTGTTTTGCGATCCATCCATGATATTTTCAAAATACGTCGGTAACACCACATTTCGAATGCTTCTAGGTTTTTAATGTTGGATTTTTTAAGTGTCCAAGCTTCAACCCCATACAAAAGGGTAGAGAAAATATAACAGAAGCATTCTTATTCGGAGCGATATATTGATATCGCGGTCTGGACTAGCATCGTAGGAGATCACATAATTTCCACATAATTACTATGTGAATTAAAATATTGAATAAGAGCAGTCTCCAATTCTGTTACAGCAGAAACTCTTATCTCTCCGCAGAAGTTTTTTTATGACCGATCGGGGTACTATTCAGACGTAGAAGGTCATATGTTTGAACCATTTTTGTAGAGCATAAAGAATTATTTCTTATTTTATTAGGAATTATTCTTTCTTTTCAATAAGAGTATATTTTTTGTTTTATCTTTTTAAAGAAATGCGCTTTTATTTTTAATTCAACTATAAAAAAATGTTTACAATATTAAAAGTCCGATACAAATGCACTGCTTTATAAAGGTCAGTGTATTTTTATCGAGTTTACGTACTTGAGAAATAAACCGGATATACGCAATGAAAACAAACATCGAAGGACGGAGTTGTATGGTATGAGTTGTTGTGAGTTACTAAATGATTTTTTGTCGTGTTGTCGGAGGCGATCGGAGAATTACAGTTACCTACTACGAGACAATGTTGCCGTATTAACTTCTATAAAGTAGTCGCCAATAATTTTAAATAAATTCTATTACAATTTTAGGTAAACGGTGTGGGAAAATCTACAAACCTCGCGAAAATTTGTTTTTGGTTGATTGAAAATAACATGCGGGTACTTATAGCAGCTTGTGACACATTCAGAGCTGGAGCTGTAGAACAACTTCGAACTCATATGAGACATCTCAATGCGCTTCACCCAGCCGATAGGCACGGAGGACGCGAAATGGTCCAATTGTACGAAAAAGGATATGGTAAGGATGCTGCGGGTATAGCCATGGAAGCAATTAAGTTTGCTAGGGATTCTAGAATCGATGTTGTATTAATTGATACCGCTGGAAGAATGCAGGTAAGTTATATTTTAATACACAATGACGGTATTAGATTTTGATTCGATACAGAGCAGCTACAAGCCGCATATACGTTTTTCGACCTCTTTGGGTCTCCTCAGTACGGTATAGCAACTACTCCGTATCGAACCAAAATATTTTCCCGTCGTAGACCATAGTTATTAAAAATAACTATGTACAGACGTAACTACGCCGTCTAAGAACAAAAAGAGAAATTATACGATTTCTACCTGGCGAAATCGAATTCAAATATAAGCCACCGTGCTTCCTAAAACTTGCGAAGCAAACAGCTTGATGAATAAATCGGCAAGGGAATCTAAAATTGCACTCCAAATGCCGTTCATCATGGCCAATATTTTATTTTCTTCAAAAAATATTATAAAACGTAAATATTTTATGCTATTCTACGACCACGCGACATCTACATATAAAAAGATCTAAATTTGTATTTGTTGCCCCACTCTTTCACATTTTAGAAGCAGTAATAGCTCTGACGTGACCGCTCCCTAGTGGTACAAATAAGGAACTAAAATCTTGATCAACCTATGGTTCTTTTTTATAACGTGTGTATAACATTTGCCGACGCTAAAAAATGACAGTGAAAGATCCTTCTATATGGGTCTATTCTTTGATAGTACTTTGTGATTATGCTAGTATTTAATCTTGGTAATTGTAGCGTTTTACTCACATTATTTTATGCTGATTTTTAAGAAGGAAGGAAGATTCTTTTTTCTGTAATATTAATGTAGTGTAACTATTAATTATACACCTACAGAACATAACCAAGTTAAAAACATAGTTAAAAGCGAGCATTAAGTGCCAAATTTAAAAAAAAAATGCATGTTTTTAGATATCATTTTCTGATTCATTGCAATCGTATCTAACTTAATCTTCCTCATTTACAATTCCTCAACATCACTTAACAGCTCTATTCTTTCCTCCATCATCCTTTGAATATCTCTATTTAGGAACTCGAAAGGAAGATATAACACAAATTGTTGTTTTAGGATAACGAGCCTTTGATGAGAGCGTTAACCAAGCTGATTAAAGTAAATGAACCGGATCTGGTACTCTTTGTAGGAGAAGCTCTTGTTGGTAATGAAGCCGTAGACCAGCTAGTAAAATTCAATCAAGCTCTTGCAGATTATTCATCTAGTACTAATCCACACATCATAGACGGCATTGTATTAACCAAATTTGACACAATTGATGACAAGGTAAATATTAAAATACATTTTTTTAAATTAATATAGAGCCATCGAAACAAAAATCGTAATTTTAAAAAAGCCACAAAATCACTTCTTCAATTTCTTCGTCTGTTGTAGCGTAGTCACCATGCAGAATGACGTGGCATTAGTGATCTGACATTGTTAACGTACAGTTTGAAAATTGATATTCTCTATTTATATATTTGAAAATTTATATCTATTTTTTATTTTTCAGGTTGGAGCTGCAATATCAATGACTTATATAACTGGTCAACCTATAGTTTTTGTTGGAACTGGACAAACCTATACAGACTTGAAAGCCTTAAATGCAAAAACGGTGGTGCATTCGCTCATGAAGTAATTTATTCTTAAACAGATGCCTTAATTATTATAATTCTTAATCGTTGAAAGAAGTTCTAAGATGGAAAGATGAGACAGTAGATAATTATTGTGATTTTATTTTCATGTTGGAGTTTTAACGTAATTTATTTTACTCTTTATGAAGTCAGCTCATATATTTTAAACTCTATGAAAATATATTTGGTATTTTTAAAATTTTAATCATAAATTCATCATAAATTATAGAGACGGTACAAGGGGGATTTTGCATAGTGTGTCATGCATATAGATAAATAAAGTAATAAGATATATAACTGAAAATTAACTTTATTATTAACTTTTATGAAAAATCTTTTAGCGATAATTTATGTATCACTCTCAACACCTAACGGTAGAAGAGGAACGATTATGTATATATGTTATGTAATCACTTTTCTATCGTTTTTATTATAAATTGTCGTGTAAACAATAGATATTTTAGCCTAAGGAATATAAAATACCTAATTTCAATAATATAAAAAGTTATAAGTTGTAACTTAAAGTTTACAGTTAATAATATTTGGCACATTTCAAAATATTATAGGGGAAAGAGGGGAATACTGGCCGCCTAAGCATTTTGGTTTATTTATACTGCTACACAGCTTTAAAAATTATACTTTTAACGTAAATAAACTTCAAACCTTAGTACTTCAAACTCTATTTACTAAACATTTTTAAACAGAACAAAAAAAATTAAAACGGTTTTTCAGACTTCTGCTGGTGGCCATATTTACCATATTTAAAAGTGGCCACTGCCACTATTACCCCCTTTTAAAAAAAATCGCAAATGTAAATTTTGCCTTCGAAACTGGTAGAGTCTTTGTGTGCCCATTGGCCGCAAATGCTGCATTGGATCCAGAGTTCTCTGGTTTTACCGAATTCGCCACAAATTGTGCAAATATCTTCGTTAACGTCCCTATCACGGTCATCGTCATCATCCTCATCTTCAGATGATATATCGTCTGTGATCTTCTGTGTTCTTATACAATTTCTTTTGGAGTTATTCGCAGAGTACTGGACTCTTCGTTGCCTATTTTTCGTTTGGTTCCTTTGCTGGCTTTATTTCTCATTTGCTCTTCCTTCTTCCGCTGTTTTTCTTTTGGAAGTAACTTCATTGGTGTTGATGTCATTATTTCGGAATGCTGCTTCCTGTTGCTTTTGTGGTTGGATCTTCTATTTCCAACTGAGTCATCTTTTGAGCATCCTGGTAGTGGAATTATATCAACAAAAGATACTTCAAACTTTTTGTCATGTGTTTTAACTTACTTATTATTCTTCTCCTTATCAAATCCATTTTTTTTTCTCTTGGTCTAGTGTCTTTTTATCTTTTTCTTGTATTAATGATTCACCTGGAGCAAAGTCTTTATCGGTAAAATTTTCTGGATTATATGGAAATATTCCTGTATTCTCATAACCTTTAATGGCTTTGACTGATGTGGCTACGCAACCGTATGAATTTTTAAATATTTCAGCTATTTCAAATGTCGTGATACGCTCATGAGGATGACTTCGAAGATAATTGCCACATTCAATGTTATACGCTGATTTTAACGATGAGTAAAAAGCCAGCGATTGCAGTCCATGCGATGTGTACGGGGGTATGGTTAACATAATAATTCCTCGTTCTTTACACAAATTATATGTCTCTAATCTACAGTGGCTACTGTGATTGTCGATGATTAACAAAACGGGATTCTCTTTTGAAGGTTTTACAACACTGTAAAAATGCTGGAGCCATTCGAGAAATATTTGCTCATTTATCTACCCATTATCTGAGCAGCAGTAGACTGCACTAGGTGGTTCACTTTTCTTTAACTCTGGTTTTATCCTTTTGAGGGCATATATAAACAAAGGTGGAATATATGTTCCTGAGGCACTTATGCAGCACATAATGGTTGTTGTTTGACCTCTTTCTTCGCTTGTAATAAAGCCTCTTTTGTCCCTTTTCAGCGAGCATTTTTCCGGTGTTTTTGGACAGTTGCTATGCCTGTCTCGTCTGCATTATAGATTTTGGATGCAGAAAATTCATATTTATCCAATATGGATTTTGAAATTAGAGAAAAATAGGTTTACTTCAGTTTTGTTAGCAGATATGCGGTTAATACTTGTCGTCTCGCTACGTTAATACTGAAGCCAATCTCTTCCAGTAATTTCTTTTCTTTGGAAAATGGATGATGTAAATTTTTTTCTTCAGCGTATTTATAGACATTTTTGATTTATGTGTTAGTTATCCCATAAAAATGTTTTCATAACTTTATGACGGGCTTTGTCAAAACTTCTTCTTCTTTGGTAAATACAGAATTACGACCTAAAGAAGCAGCTGTTGTATCATTTCGTTTTAGTCGTAGTTGAATTGTAGATCTGGAAATTGCAAAACTTCTTTCAACTTCACGACGCTTCTGCCATTATTTACTGCATTTATTGCTGCACTAAGTTGCTCAGAATTCCATCGAGCTTTGTTACTTTTTCTCCTGTAAAGTCGAGGCATCTGAAATATAAGAATTTATAAAGAAATAGTCTGTATTATATATAAATACAATTTGGGGTAATAGTTGCCGGCCAGCATTACCTCCAGGCGCGTGGTTATTATAACCCTAAAATACATATTTATACTGATCGAGTCATAATCATTAATCACTTAAATTAGAGCAAGAACTTTTTATATAGTCTTAAACTACGCTAAAAATTTAACCAATAGTTACCAAATATGCAGCTAAATAAACTTAATTACATACTTTTACATACCTTTAAAAATCTTGCACTAATAAATCAACTCCAACAAAATATGTCATTTTTAAAAATTCCTTCTTTGCCGGCAAAACATCATCATTGTTTTAGGTACAGTTTGAACGAAACAGTGTTAGATAGCGCAACAGGTATTAAAATGCGAAATAAAATTAGGCCGTAAATCAAATATTTCATGGCTACCATTACTCCAGCGGCCACCATTCCACTCTTTCCCATAATAAAAATATGCAAGTATAAAAATTTGATGAATGAAATAAAAAATGAATTAATCATTTCCTTTCGAAAAAACTTTCTCTATCATTTGATGTATTTAATGTACAGTTATAGGATTTAAACTAACGATCTTTTGGATATTCTCTTTATATTCTAGTTAATATGTGTACTATTGATCCTATTTCTTACAAATCAAGTTCGACCAGAAAGAAAATTTTAGGTATTACAGTATATATTAAATAATTTTTTTACAGATTGTCTCATCTTTCATACATTATTAAATTTTATACCGTATAATTATAAAGTTCCATCGGATTTGTAGGTTATTGTAGAACATTGGTTATTAAATCATGTTTTATTTTTAAAATAATTTTTTATACTTTTCTGTTACTTTGATTTTATGCATTTTATGGTGATATTTTTGTATTTTGGTTTAAATTATTGTAAAATCTAAATTGTTTTCATAAACAGTAAAATACACCACCTTGTATTTTATTTATAAATTCCAATCCCTAATTACATCCACTACTCCAACTGTGTAATTGTTATTTAATTCTTCTTTATGAAATTTTAGAAAACTAAATTAATGTTTTGATCTCCTGCTATGGAGTTTTTAATTAGCCAATTCAGTCATGTATTCGTATCCCACTCGCACAAATAAAAATTTTAGCTAACAGCAAGTATCAGCCGGAGTATAGAGGATAAATACACTATACACTAATACCAATACACTATCATTAGTAGTTACTACTATGGTCTGTTTTTTAACCAGGAAGAGTAATTCAAATTTTACGCGCCGTAATGCTTGTTTGTAATTGGTCCAAGGGCAGGCAAGTTTACTCCACTAAATTATGACATATTGACACTAATGACATTTGTGAAATTTTAAAATTCAAAATTTATATCCATTTTTTTTGTTTTCTGAGTTATTCCTTACATTTTTAATTTTTTGCATTTATATAAAAAACAGTTTTTTTTCAGAACTATTCAGGGACATATTAGTGTTATTAAGATAACAATATGGATTCAATGCTAAGTAGGTACTAGTGGTAATTATTCTTCACTACCTTAAAAACGAGTAGATTTGGGTCATTTATCATCAAATGAGAAACAATGTATAAACATGTACAAACAAATAATGAAAATTATTAGAATAGTTATTGTTAAAATGAAGACTTGTAATGTGCTAATTTTAGTTGTTGCGAATTCAACTATTCACCGAACAATTAAAGAATATAAGCAGACTGAAAGAGTAAGGTGTCTTAAAAATATTGACGGTCGACCTTCTATTCTTGCAACATTAGATAAAACAGTTAAAACATTTGTAAGACAGATAGTACACAGCTTCTTTTTCAAGAATGAAGTGCCCACTTAAAGTGAAATTAACAGCCGCTCAGATCTTCCAAAATATGTGTCGTTTATTATTACATAAATTCTTGAAGCAAATCAATTTGAAGTAAGTAAATATGGGTTAGCTACAATTATATAGTAAAATCTAAAACATTTTATAGTTTTCATTTTTATAAACGCGTATATTATTGTTACTACTAAATGTTTTTGGAAACATACCAGTGTACAAATGTTTTCATTTTAAGTATCATGTAGGTACTTACATTTCACTTTTCTCATTTAAAGCGTTGATTGAATTTCAATCAACGTTTAAAGATATTATACTTGGTATGTTTAATGATGAGTATACTAAGTAATGATCTGAGTATACTAAGTAATGAAGTATTTAATTGTATAGTCTATTGGAATGTTGTCAAGTATTTTGGTTCAGAACATGGAAAGGGAAGAAAAGGAAAAAAAAAATTTACTTTACATATAAGCAGATTCATTGCAGCAAATATTGTATAGCATAACTATAGATTGATCATCTTACTGTTTATAGGATGATTGATTTATTGTCTGTATTATGAATGTTTTAGGTGATAGTTATTTTTTTAGGTAAAATTATTCAAAGAATGGTTTATACATTGGGCATTGGGCTGCTGACTAAAAACAAAACTTTCTTGCTCAAAT